ACAGAGCCGGTCTTCCTCAGCAAAAAGAGGAGGATTAGCATGGATGTTAGCTCAGGGCTGATCTTCCTCACAAAAAACAAATAAATAAATAAGAACATCATCCTTGAAGAGCAAGAAAATGTGGGACAGACCATACCTTTTGCTATTCACTTACACAACAAAGTTAATTGCTTTGTGAAGGGTTATTTTTTAAAAAGCCAAGATTTATTTATTTATTTATTTATTTATTTTTATTTATGCATGTATGTATGTATGTATGTAGAGGAAGATTAGTATGTACATATGTACGTGTATGTAGAGGAAGATTCGCCCTGAGCTAACATCTGTTGCCAATCCTCTTCTTTTTGCTGAGGAAGACTGGCCCTGGGCTAACATCCGTGCCCATCTTCTTCTACTTTATATGGGACGCTGCCACAGCATGGCTTGACGAGTAGTGCGTTGGTGCGCGCCCAGGATCTGAACCTGTGAACCCTGGGCCGCCTCAATGGACCGCGCGCACTTAACCACTGTGCTACCGGGCCAGCCCCTGCCAGGATTTATATTTAAGTGAATGACAATTTCTGGAAGGCAGCAGGGCCACAGTCTCTGGGTAATCTAAAAAATGTCTAATACATTTTAGTTTCTTAATAAACAAATACCATTTCCTGCCATTAGTTACTTTTCCTCAATAAAACAATCTCTTCTAAAAATCTATTGTGTGAATGACCAAAATTCTAGGAACTACATCATCAAAGATATAAAATTCCAGATTTCTCTGTCTCATCAACAGCTAGTCAAATCCTAGATAAAATAGGACTTTTTGTGCTTTTTTTTAAACAACAGCCACGTTTTTTATTTGCTGATATCCTGCATTTGAAGTACTTCTCAATGATATCCTTGGCTGATAAAACAGTTTTAGAACATAAACTCTACATATCACAATATGTATTATGAGCTTTTTCCTGCTATTCTCACAGGAATACCAGAAATTAACAACTGCTACTATAGCAAGCTCCCATTGATCTGTTATCTCAATATTTCAGGGTTTATTCTTTTTTTTTTCCTCCCCAAAGCCCCAGTGCATGGTTGTATATCCCAGCTGTAAGTCCTTCTAGTTCTTCTATGTGAGCTGCAGCCACAGCACGGCAACTGACAGATGGGTGGTGTGGTTCCGTGACCAGGAAACAAACCCAGGCCACCAAAGCAGTGAGCGCCGAACTTTAACCACCAGGCCATCAGGGCTGGCTCTCAGAGTCTATTTTTCACTCATATCATAACTTCCGTCAATTTTCCCATCCAGGATCATAGACTATTCGGGCTAGAAGGAAGTCTTGGAGATCATTTAATATAATTCCTTCACTTACAAGAAGAAACCTGAAATCCAGGGAGATTGTGTGACTTGTTCAGGGCTACATTGTTGATTAGAGGGAGAGTTGAGACTAGAATTTAGATTTTCTGACTCCCAATTTAGTACACTTTGCACCATAACAAAGAGTCTTTTGGTGGCACTCAAGGTTCAAATTCTTCTCTAACTCATTCAAAAATATTACCAAGGACTTAATACATTTTAGGCACTAAGGGGCTCACTGACCAGCAGAGACAACAAACAAGTTAAAAGAAAATGACAGGTATTAACCCTAGAGAAATAAAAGCATGTGTTCACAAAAAGACATATAAGAATGTCCATAGCAATTTGATTCCCAAAAATTAAAAACTCAATGTTCATCAATAAGAGAACAGATAAGCAAACTGAGGAATAATCATACAATGCCATAGTATTCAGCAATAAAAAAGCATGGGCTACTGATACACGCGTTAACATGAGTCTCAAAAACGTTAAGTGAGGACTGCAGAACTCTGGGCACATGACTATTCCATCCAAACTCCTGCACTAAGAGACTTGACCAAACTTGAGTATGGCTTCTAGCAGCGTAAGGCTGTGTTCCTAAGATCAGCCCAGCCCCGCCCCTTACACTGCCTGCCTGAGAAAGCTCCACAGTGCCAGGAGAATTTACCGTTCGTTCTAGCCACCACCTGACAATAGGCCCTTGACCTGCCTCAGAGCATTTACTGAAAACGGCTTACAATTGTGAATATTTATCTCTTACAACTCACAAGTGTCTTTCTCAAGGACTCGAGAGCCATTCCTTTGAAATATAATCATCAGGAAGGACTCCCAGTCTCTGTGGGAGGATAGAATCCTAACTTGGATAACTCCCAGCTAGCAAACGTAGCTGGCCTAATCGAATTTACACTGACCAACCTTTTGTAATTTTTCACTTCGCTGATTCTACTGAGCCCCCGACCCCCTCATTCTCCCTTTAAAAGGCCCAATCACCTCTGCACAAATCAGAATGGAGCTCAGCTCTTTCCCCTACTGTCAGTAATTACTGAACAAAATCCGTTCACCATTTTAACGTCTGGCTGTGTTTATCTTTTATATTGAATGAAGCCAGACATAAAAGAATCTATACTGTGTGATTCCACTTATGTTGTTAGTGCCATCAAGTCGATTCTGACTCCTGGTGACCCTGTGTCCAGCACAGCAGGACCCTGCCCAGTCTTTCCGTACCATCCTCTCACCTTCCAGCACTATAGCAGACAATGCTCCACTGCTATTCATAGGGTTTTCATGGCCAATTTTTTTTGAAGTCGGTGGCTAGGTCCTCCTTTCTAGTTTGTCTTAGTCTAGAAGCTCCACTGAAACCTGTCCATCATGGGTGACCCTGCTGGTATTTAAAATACCAGTGGCTTAGCTTTCAGCGTCACAGCCACACGCAGCCACAATATGACACCTGACACACTGGTAGTGTGGTCCCCTGACCGGGAAATGAACCCGGGCCAAGGCCGTGAGAGCACCGAATCTTAACCACTAGACCACCAGGATTCCACTTACACGAAACTCTAAAACAGGCAAAATTAAGCTATGGTGACAGAAATCAGAACAGTGTTTGCCTTAGGTAAGGGAGTAGGGGACTAACTGGAAAGGAGCAAAAGAGAACTTTCTAGGGTGATGGAAATGTTCTATAGCTTGATTGGAGCGTTGGTTACACAGATGTTATCAACACTCATTGGACTTTATACTTAAATCTGAGCACTTTTACTATATGTAAATTATACCTCAATTTTAAAAAAACAGTTTAAAAAGACAATGACAGATTGCTATAGGGCAGTGGTTCTCAAATTTCTTGGTCTCAGGAACACTTTACTCTCTTAAAAGTTATTGAGAAGGGCCGGCCTCGTGGCTTAGCGGTTGGGTGCGTGCGCTCCGATGCGGGCGGCCCAGGTTCGGATCCCGGGCGCGCACCGACGCACTGCTTCTCCGGCCATGCTGAGGCCGCGTCCCACATACAGCAACTAGAAGAATGTGCAACTATGACATACAACTATCTACTGGGGCTTTGGGGGAAAAATAAATAAATAAATAAAATTATAAAAAAGTTATTGAGGACCCCAGAGCTTTTGTTTATATGGGTTGTATCTGGCAACATTAACCATACTAGAAATTTTAACTGAAAAATTTTTTAAATACTTATTAATTCATTTAAAAATAACAATAAACCCATTTTAACATAAATTGCATATTTTTATGAAAAATAACTATATTTTCCAAAAAATTTAGTGAGAAGAGTGGCAATGATTAGCATTTTTGAAAATATTTTTAATGTCTTTCAATGTGTTGCAATATGTTGATTTAGTTGAAGTACGTAGATCAAGAAAAGGGAGGAGTATTTCAATAGCTTTTCAAAAAATTGTATATAATCTTCTTTGATGCTACACCAAATCTAGAAACATGGTAGTTTTTTAAAGGTTAGTTGCAATCTGAAGCTGTAACAATGAACTTTTCACACTCTATAACATTAAAATCCATTGCTCTGGGCCGGCCCCGTGGCTTGGTGGTTAAGTGCGCGCACTGCGATGCTGGTGGCCCGGGTTCGGATCCCGGGTGCGCATCGAGGCACCGCTTCTCCGTTCATCCTGGGGCCGAGTCCCACATGCAGCAACTAGAAGGATGTGCAGCTACAACATACAACTATCCACTGGGGCTTTGGGGGGAAAAAAAAAAAAAAAAAAATCTTTAAAAAAAAAAAAAAAAAAATCCATTGCTCTGTCTTCTGCTTAGAATGGATCTTACTCACGCCTGACTAGGTAACATCAAGCCTGGTTTTTTGAGAAAATATTAGTTCACTGAGTTATACTGATAATGTTGACAAATTTAATTATGTAGAATTAAAAAAAATATTTGTTAATATCACCACCAATCTCATCAGAAAAGTCTTTAAGTACTGGGAAACTGTCAAGTTCATAATGGCAGATACAAGCATTCCAAAATTCTAATTTCATTTGAAAGCTTGAATTTTATCATTGCCAACAAATACTGTGTTATTTTCCTTGATGTGACAGATCACTTTATTTTCAAGAAAATATCTGCCAAATACCCAAGTCTGAATAACGATAGTATGTCTTCCAGTCATTCTTTTGAGAAAAAAATAGTTTAGTGAAAAAAAAGCAGCTCGCAACTCCCACAATTACACAAGTTCTTTTCC